GAATACAAAAAAGGCATTGGAAGAAAACACTGCTGCTGTTTCAGCTCATTTGTATGAGGTGAAGGACAGTCTCATGATCGGAGGCCGGAAGACAACGTGGTAGTGACTGCGCCCACGGCTTCGGGATACTCCAGCGGCGCATACCGGTCCACTGGATGGAAAAGTAAAAATAAAAATAAAAAATCTACGGGGATGCAGTGGGAGGGCGCGAAAAGAACGATCTCGATCGAATCAAAAACGAGAAACAACCGAATCAAACACTTAGAGCATCAGTTCGTATAGAAATACAGAAAAAACGTGAGAGCAAGAGATGGACATTAGCGTTGCAGCAAACTAAATGCGATCATATCCGCTTGCCCTTTCAGAGTTTATATATAAAACAAATAAATTGCAATAATTGTTTCCCCCTGCAAATTTTCCCCACCAAAATCCACATCACCCTTAACAGAAAACAATTCCCCTCTGACACTGTTGTTCCCCAGAGCCACGCTCGTGGGAAAGCCCGCTGCCCATCACGCGTGTCGTTGGGAAGTTCCTTTGCCGTTGGGGAATGGCAAAGCGCTCCTCCGTTTCGCGTGTTTATTTTCATTCATTTCACAACTCCCATTCCCAAACCCCATGCTTTTCGTATTGTTTTGATTTTTTCCCCGTTTTTTTTTTATTGTTTGCCGGGGGTCCGATCTGCCGGGCCGCCACCCCGCACACCACGCCCAACAATAAAGAGCGACACTGTGAAGGAGAACGGGGTCCATTCCCCTCACTCTTTGAACAATTCATGTTGAAACCATCATGGCGCCACCCTTTTGAAATTCCACCGAGGGAAGGGGAACAACGGCCATCCGCCACACACCCCATTCATTAATTGTACCCCCAAAAAAAGAGAGAGTGAGGAAGCCAAACAACATCCAACACCAAAAGAGGAAAAAATAAAACCAGCGGGGCAGCCAAATCCCCAACAATTCCTCATCTTTTCTTCATAATTTCCATTGGAATTCCAAAGGATTCAAAAGGCGCAACGAAAGCATAGCAAGCAAAAGTATGCCTAATGTAATTTGCCTTCTTCTTTGCTTGGCCTATAAAGTGCGAGAAAAAACAAAGAGGGAAACAGAAAATATTTTTATTAGTTTTCCCCTTGTTTCAAGAGAGATCCCCCTTGGGGAGTGGCAAGTGGCAGAATGGTTTGCAACACCTTCCCGCCACGCAGAGTGAGAATGTCTGTTGTATTTTGATAATTTTCCCTCCCGTCATGCAGAAAAACGTTAACACTAACAAAGGGTCTCTTGGTGAGGTCTACCATCTCCCCTCCTTTCCCCTTTGATCACCAGAGAAAACCATTGCAAGAGAGGCGACAGCGCAACAGACAACACACACTTTCGCCTTTGCATTGCCTCAAAACTACTCCTCTCATCATCATCATCTGTCTGCAACAATATGGAAAAAAGATCAACAACAATGGCTATTCACAAAAAGAGAAACATAAACTTTATTTTATTTTATTTTCGCATCACACCCTGCGCGCCGGAAAAACACAACCCAAGTGAAAAATACAAACTACACCAAAAGAGCCACACCACCGTAGAGCAGCAGCATCGTTGCCCCTACTGCAATGTGGAAAAGAATATGCCCACACACACACCGTAGAGTGGACACAACGTTAAATGGGTTAGGGCATTACTCTCTAGTCCCACGAAGAGGAAAAGAGAGCAATAGTTGTATGTCTGGATCCATGCCCATCCGTTTGTAGAGAGATGGGAAAGGAAAAACGCCAACCCTCAACAGGCTTTGGGGGTGCGCAAGTGTTCTCCTCCGCTAAAATGATGGAAATGCTTCTTCTTTTTGGGGTAAAAGTTTCTTTCAAGCAAACACGCCCATCCCAAAAGGGAATTACGCAAACATTGGGTGACCTTCTTTACTAGTACGACTTACCGGTTGGCAGAAGAGGCATTATGAAATAGAAAAGGACCTATTGATTCAAGGGGTCTCAATCCGTGCACATTGCGTGGGTTCCCAAATGACCCCTACACGATCAACAAAAGATTTCTCCGGGCCATTCCCAAGCAATTCGCCATGCAAATTTCCCCTCTCCTTGTTTGAATAAATACAAAACGTTCCCCACTCACCCTTTTCTCAGAGATGAGCGTGATGAGGTCCAGTAGTCAAGAAGAAGATTTATCACATTTTTTTTTCTGTGCTGAACTCTTTCCTACAGTCTTCCATGTCAATAGCTGTGGTGGAATAGCTCTTTTCAATTCCACACCGAATCCATCAACACACACAGAGAGAGACCCACCCCATTATTTTCATTGAAATCCACAATGTTTATGCTTTCAAAATAATAATGGAATAAGTCGATCAGTTTACCTACCACTCTGAGAATATGGTCCCACTCAGTAACACTCTCTCTCTTGACCGTGACGTACAATATTCACCCTGGTCGACACACACCCCACAGTGTTGTTTGCATTGCTGGAGGTGGATCAACATTCATTAACTTTAGGCCCTCTCTAGGCATCACCTCATCATGTGTATGTTCTTTAACAGTGACATCAATCTCCTCACTAATCAAACGAAACTCCATTCTCTCTTTTACTTCTACTCCTTTTTCTCTCACTGTATTTTTTGATTTTCTGTTGATTGCAGTGTCACTTCTGCAACAACAAATC